TCGGCAAGGGGCAGTGCCTCCGCTGTGCTGCTGGATGGAACCACTACAAAAAGGAGGCTAGCAATGGGCCGTCGGTCAACCCATATCCATGCGCCGCGCGTAGCTTGCTCAGGCACTAGTGTGAACAGGATCTCCCGGAAGGCTACCCTTTGCTCTGGTTGACACGCATTGGCCGAGAGGAGGAATCCCTCAAGCTTGGCCTTTTTGCGCGCGGCTGCTTGCCAAAGGGCAGCCAGGATCTGTCCCAGATCGGGATTGCCAAGGAATTCGACAGTAACTGTGCCGAATTCGGGAATCCCTAGTCGGCACATGAGGGGATTCCGGGGCGCAGGGTGGCTGTGGAAGCTATCCCCGGACCCAGCAGCACTGGACACGGGAATGTGCTCATCCGGCGTGGTCGTGGTTGTTGATGTGGTAGAAACCGAGATGGCACAAGTGGCAACGGCCGCCATGAGAGTCTGCCTGAGGCCCGGAAAATGCAGGGCAACGTCGACAGTATCTTGCACGGCATGCACGGCTGGTTGCGCCAAAGCAAGTACGCCTCCTTTATTTGCTAGGGAAAGGATGAAGTCCTGCGGAGGGTCCACAAGAGCCGAGTCAATCAAGAATTGACGTACCCTCCCCAGGATGCGCTGTTCAACTTGCGGGAGCCGCCTGTCAAATGGAATGGCGACAAGTGCCCGAGGGGAAGGGCCGAAGATCCCCCGGAAGTCTGCAAGTACAGCTTCATGGCACGCATTAGCTCCCTCCGCAGGCAAGATGACGCAGTGCAGATCAACCCCTGCAAGGTGCGGCTGCCAGGGAAGGAAATGGGACCTCCAACGCAAGACGTCTGAACCGCAAGCAAAATGATTTGCAGCTGCCTCCACAAGATGTGCATGAGTGCAAACCCGCGCAAAGCAACTTATCCAAGGCGGCTGCCCCGGAGTGTGGAAGGCGACTGTGAGTTCATCATGGTGCTCTTCGTGCGGAACAACACCAAAGCGAGCAGTAGTGCTGTTGTCAGTGTCGGACGAAGCCTCTGCTATACTAGTGCCAGACTCGGAGGACTCTGCACGCATGACATGAACCCTGGCGGCCAACGCATGAGTGGGGTGCAAGATGCCAGGTGCAAAGGGGTCGCCTTGTGCCTTGCTCAAGCTGTCGAGGCTCAAACGACCTCTGGCAACATCCGGGGCAAACCTTCTGGGGGGCCCCGGACAGACCTGGACAAGTCGCAGTGCTGCCTCATAGGCGGAGGCATCCATGGGAATTGAGTAAGTGCAAAACCCTCTGCCTAGCTGTCTTAGATCGACAGGGACCGGTGCCCAGCCGGGTGTGACGTGTGCGGCCCTAAGGATGAGTTGAATGGAGGGAAGGCCTCTGTCACCGAAGTGATGGGTCCATCGTTCGAGGCTCGGACCGCATCTTGCAGGATCTGTTGAAAATCCCAGGTAGACTGCATGCTGCGCAGGCGCAGGTGATCTGTGGTGTCGAAGAAAGCGTATGCCTCCTCTTGAGCGGCCTCAGCGACCTGTGCCTCCATCAGGCTTAGCGGCACGGGGGTTGCCACACTAAGCCATGCAGCAGTGGTGCGGTCAGCAAGAGGAACCTGCGTGAGAAAGACTTCGGGTGCAACCCATGCAAAATCCCCTGTTACAGTATGAGCGCCCTCGCCTTCAGGGGAGGCCGGGCCTTGGGTGGCCTCGCATGTCGCCTCTGTGCCTGGAGGTGCCGGAGAGGCATCGGTCCCATTGACGAATCCTTCGTGGATATTGCAGGCACCATGAGCGTGACGATACCTTGCTGCACCTGGGCCTCGAGCACAAGCAGGCATAATCACCTTCCTGTTGGGGACAAGTGTGTGAAGTCGGCCTAGATTGCCACTCTCTGGCTCATCTGCAAAGGAGCTTTTGCTCCCCCCTTCGCAGGTGGCATGCATTGCGGGGGGCAAAGCAGGGGCCCAATAGGGCGGGCCCAAAGGAACCTGGCACCTCTTTAAGGACCTTAGGACCTGCAAGTGGGGCGGCTGTGCTCCGGCAGTGGCGGCTTCATCGTGGCCTCTTTGCACTTCTGCAAATCGCACGAGTCTGGGCGTGCGGCTGCTGGCACTTCGGGATGCAAGCGAAGAGGGGCAGATACAACCCGAACAAAAGCCAGAACCCTTATTGGGGGAGGAGGCCTTAGGAGGGAAGAAAGCCCCGAAGAAAGGATTCGGGGTGTCGTCTACCTCCAGAGTCCTAGGGTCCGAGATTAACTGAACCTCAAAATCCCTAGAAACTTCATACTGCAGAGCAAGGCCAAGCAACATTGCGTGGCCAGCATGTACACAGTCATCCTCCAAGGTGACCGTGTGCGTCAGCCCAAGGGTAGGCGTCCACTGTGACGTATCTAGCCTCGGGCTTTGCCAGGGTGCGGTGCCGGGGTCTTGGCTTGCTCTTCGTCGGAAACAACGACTTCCTCCGTGAGCGCTCGCTTCCTCCTCGGCGTCCTTTCCCTGTCTTGTTCTGCGGTGGCTGCATCCGATGCAGCCTTGGCATGTGCAGTTGTAACGGCTTCGAGCAAGCTCTTGGCTGAAGCCTGGTGCATCTCTCTCTGCTTCTGGAGCTCTTGCTCCAGATGCAATTGGCTGTCCACCTTGGCATCGGCTGCTTCGGCCGCTGCCTCTGCAATTGCTTCTTCGTCGATACCCATGGCTTCCAGATCTGCAGACCCTCCGACCTTCGCCTTCAAGGATGACGAGGCCGCTGCCAAGTTCGAGGTCCACTGCAACTCTCCTGCATCCAGGGTGCTTAAGACCTTCTGTTGATCTTCCAGCTGTTGCTGCAGCATGCTTTGGATCTGGCCGAGGTAGGTACTCCATCCCGCCAGATAGTTTGCTCGCGCCGCACGAATTTTCGCGAGCTCCTTTCTGGCCTTCTGCTGCGCTGTGACCGCCTTGTGAAGGACCTTGGCCTCCTCTTCCGTCTCCTGCATCTGGTGTGTCTCCAGGAGCGCCTTGACGTGTTCGGGCAGCTTGTCTTTGCTTTGGGCCATCGCCGCGACCAATTGCTGTAGAGCGGCCCTGTCCTGCGAAATGCTGCCACTGGACATTGCTCCCGCTGGCGCAATCGGCAGGGCCGGTTGTGCAGGTGGTGGTGGCAGGCTCGTCGCATTCGGTGCTTGCCATTCCCCTGGAGGTGGGGCCAAGGCCGGACCAGTCGAGACCTCCGTCCTGGCAGACTTGTCGCCCCCTTTCCCGGTGCGGGTGGCATTGGCTTGCTCCCCCTTTCCCGGGCCTTGTCTGGGATGCTGTGGTGCATCTTTTCCCCGGTTGGAACGTCGGGGAGAGGGAGCTGTCCGGCGTCGCGGTGAAGCCGACGCATCCCGATTCCACTGTGTCGTGTATGTTTGCAGGGCACCCCCACAAACTGAGCAATACGAGGCCTTGGAAGACCGGTTGGCGTAGCATGTGCCGCACCAAGAGTGTGTCGCCATATCGCAGTCCGCCTGCAGCAAGCTTTGAGCTTGTCCTGGTAGCTGAGACTTCGAGTGGTGACCTGCCAGCCTTCGTATTGCACGCAAAACTGTGTCGCGTTTGACCACCAAGCCACTTGTAGCTCCACGGAGTGTGGTGCGAGCTCGGCAGCGTAGGCGTCGGTGCCGCCGGTGCCAGGCTGGTTCTTGTCGAGCCGTGGTTTGGCCAGGGCAAAGTGGCAAGGCGACTGTCCAGGATCCCAATATCCCCACCAAATCCAGCAAAGAAAACCAGAAGAGGAAAAACTGATGATCCCATATACAAATAATGCAGTAGGCCCTAAAAAAAGAACGGCTAGTGCAGTGGCTTGACCAGAAGCCAGGAGGGAACCACCCCTCAAGTAAAAAGGTCAGCTCCCGGGCGCCAGCCGGGTTAGGCGCAGTAGCCAGACTCAGTCAGATGAGCGGCTCCTAGGTGTAACGCCTCCAGATAAATATGGTACAGCGAAAACCAGATTCGTGGGCTGAAAGCCGCACTAGGGTAGCCAGCTATGGGTGCGTGGACTCCGAGGAGAAACTACACGACACTTAAGCCAGAACGCCTGGGGTTTGGGGTTTAGGGCTTAGGGTTTAGGCTTTAGGGTTTAGGCTTTAGGGATTAGGAACCTTAAATTAGGAGTATCCCTCTAGAATGGAGGTTGAGGGCTTGAGGGGTGAGAACCAAGGGCCCATACTAAGGGACCAGGCAGCTACCCTAAGAGTTAGGGCTCTTTGAGGTAGTAGGGCTTCGGGTTGTTAGGGTTCATAAAGGGTTAGGGCCGTCAAAGCGCTGTTCGTTGCTAGGGTTGTCAGGCATTAGGCTTGGTTTAGGGTGCAGGGCCTCTGTTGTGAGGCGAAGCCTCAGCTCTACCCCAAACCCTAAACCCTAAACCCTAAACCGACGAGAAACTCGGATGGCCCTCTCAAAAAAGCATGTACCTAAATGTGGTCCCGTGAACCACTAAGGGCAAACAAGAAATGGCCCAAGGGATTAACTAGGAAACCACACATTCGAGGTTTTGCGTCTGGGAGTATGTCGGGGGGCGAAACGCCTCGACCAGCCAGGAGTTAGATATATATATATATATATATAAACACACACAAGAGGGCATAATGAACTTATACAAACAAAAGTGCAAACATCAATCCAAACAACACCAGTTCAAACACCACGCACGCGACAAGAAGAGTTGTCAGCTAAGCAACAAAAACAAAATTGTAAACCAAAATTAGACCCTAAACCTTCAAGGCTTGCACTGTTAACAACCTGAAACCCACGCAACGGCCCCAAAAGCCCTAAAACCCCGAATGGCCCCCCTATATAGTACACCCTTTGGGGTTTGGGGTTGGGGTTTTTGGGTTTTGGGTTTAGGGTTTAGGGTTTAGGGTTTAGGGTTTAGGGTTTAGGGTTTAGGGTTGAGGGTTGAGGGTTGAGGGTTGAGGGTTTTGGGTCTGGTTTAGGGTGGTTCGGGTCTAGGAGTGAAAGGGCCGAAGCCCCTTAGAGCTCGCAATGCTGCCGCCGCCACACGGCGCGGCAGAACGTGGATTCGGCGGCGCCCCTGAAGCGACCACGGCCTGAAATTTTGAGAGTTTAGGGTTTAGGGTTTAGGGCTTAGTGAAAATTTGAGGTTGGGGCGGAGCATGGTGGTGGGTGTTTAGGGCCAGTTTAGGGTTTAGGTGTTTGCCGTATTTCATAGTTTCTGATCGTATATTGCACTAACTGGGGAAATAAGAACGGACATTACTTTTAGTTGTAGAGATCAAAAATAGTACATATGAAGATTATAGCTACCATTCAAGAACAAATAAATTGCAATGTAAAATGCAGATACAAACGAAACATCTTTTCGTATACGTGCCTTGTATTAGCAATTTCCTGTCCTTTGCTATGGGGTTGAGCCTCCGGATACAGAGAGACCGTTCGTGCTCGTGCATGGTTTAAGGAATTAGGGTTCACTCAAGAAACGGGGCTTCCCAGCAACCCTGACAGTTCTTGCTTAATGGGGATAGAAAGGGAACTTGTCCTGAGAAATGGGGATTCGCCAATCGGAGACCCCAACTCCTACTCCCTCAACAAGATCGCACGTGCCGAATGCCCCAGACCCCTAAACCCGGAAACTACTCCCGTTTCGGGAATTGGGGATTTTAGGTACAGAACCAGTTCTAGCTTCCTCTTCTGCACCCTACCTACAATATTTCTCCCTCCACGGCATGACATGGATCCCCAAATAGTAGGACCCCAATAAGGTACCCCCTAATTTCGAAAACCCCAAACCCCAAACCCCACACCCCAAACCCCAAACCCCAAACCCTAAACCCTAGACCCTAAACCAACAAAAAACGAAAAAGCGCTCACTGCCAGGCCTTGGACAAAGTGTCCGTCTTGGACACGGAGATGCTGGCACCATTCCTTTAGGGTTTAGGGTTTAGGGTTTTGGGTTTATAAGGTTTAGGGTTTACGGTTTAGGGTTTACGGTTTAGGGGTTGAGGGTTTAGGGTTGGGATGTTCCACCTTGGTACTAATAGTCCTTATTCTAGAACCCCCCCGCCCCCACCCCCCCCCCCCCCGATTATAAATCCCTATTAAGGACTGTTAGTATAAGGGGTTTAGGGTTGAGGGTTTAGGGGTTGGGCTTTAGGGCTTGCGGGAAGGCCCTTCAACAACTGGACAAAATTCCTTTTCTTATTTATTTGAACGGGCTGTTGGTGTGGCGATGGCACGAATTTGCCTCAACTCGCCCCAAATCGAGGCAACCAATCAGCAGGTGGGAGTTGTTCTGCGAGAGCGAGGGAGAATGACAGAGAGAGAGAGAGAGGGGGAGAGAGAGAGAGAGAGAGAGAGAGCGAGCGAGCAACAGAGAGATAAGGCCCAAAAAGGCCCCTAGATGACACAGCCCCCGGGAAGCTCGTTGCTTCCCAGCGGAAGTTGAAGATCAGACCAAATCCTGGACGTCCATGCCGTGACGTTGTTGTAGAGACCAAACCCTAGATTTGAAACCTTGTGATTGCGAGGGCTCGTATGACCCAGAAAGGTCGATACCTTAAGTGACATCAAGAATCCAGCAATGATTTGAGGCATGCTCCCCACTTAAGTGGTCTCTTTGCGTAGCCCAACAAGCCAAAACCTAGGCCGCCTCCCATGAACCCAACGAGTTCTTAGAAGCTTGAACCCACGGAGGTAGTAGTCATTACATCGGGGCCCACGAAATCCCCAAATCCCTCCGTTAAGGTTCAGGGTTTAGGGTTTGGGGTTTAGGGTTTAGGGTTTGGGGTTTGGGGTTTGGGGTTTAGGGTTTAGGGCAAGCGTCAGCGTGGCGCCCGCCCCTCGGGCAGCGGCAAAGAGCTCGTCCCGGAAGGGCTCGTAGATCACCTCTATTTGCACTTCAGCTGTGTGTGTGTGTGTGTGTGGGGGGGGGAGGAAAAGAGTTTGGGGGGGTTTAGGGTTTAGGTTTAGGGTTTAGGGTTTGGGGGTTAGGGTTTAGGGTTTGGGGGTTAGGGTTTAGGGGGCTTCGGGTGAGGGGGTTTAAGGATTGAGGGTTCGAGGGTTCGAGGGTTAGGGCTACGTGGTTTTGGAGGGTTGTGGGCCGGTCGGCAAGGAGGGGCTACTCTCACGACATATGAAGTAGGGTTTATATTTCTTGTACTGCGGACTGGAGGTCGTGAATCATATCAAGGTGAGACAGCTTAGATTTGTACTAAGCACGGTTAGCAAGCACACAACATCAGTGGTCGAGGACGTGAATTTACTGATCAATGGTTAAGCTTACCCCTAAAAGGCCACCCAGTATATACACTCACCAATTTCAAAAGGGAACCTTATATGAACTCACCAAAAACAGAAATATATACCCTACTTCATGTGAGCCCTAAACTCTTCAGCGTCACAGCATAAAATCGCCTGTCGGACCCTGCAAGCCCTTCAAAATCTGAACGCCCCTAAAAAAGCAGCGGCTGCAGAGCGCGGCCCCCAAAGACCTAAGGGAACCGCGACAGTTTTAGGGTTTAGGGTTTAGGGTTTAGGGTTTAGGGGGTGCCAGGAAGGACGATCAGCCAGCTAAATGCTGCCAAACGTCGCCCGCTTGCAGCTTGCCATCAAAAGCCACGCCGATGGAGACTGCCGACATCCTTTCTCGTGGGTTTAGGGTTTAGGGCTGAAGGTTTAGGGTTTAGGGTTTAGGGTTTAGGGTTTAGGGTTTAGGGTTTAGGGTTTAGGGTTTAGGGTTTAGGGTTTAGGGCTGTGTGTCCACACCCGATGCTCAGGAGTAACCTAGGAACAAACAGGGCACCCTTTTTTGGTTTAAAGGGGCTAAATTTAAGGGAACCCAGGCCCTAACAAAAGGAAATAAAGGCCTACCCGGGTCCTAGAACATGCCAAAGGAGGATATCCGCCTTACTCTTAGTTGTCCAGTACCCAGGGGTTTTAAAGGTTAACCTTTGGGATTATAAGGGGAATATATTAACCCAAAAAGGTTAAAGGTTACCTACTCTACTACTAAGTACTTGCAGGTGTGGGGCAAAGCCGCATGTTGTTTTCAACATGCCAGGAGCCGGCTGCCATTGCCTAAACGCAATACCGAGACTGTCAAAGTCCTGCGACGTCTCCAGACAATGTAGCAAGGTGAACACGCCCTTTCAGCCTCACCAGTGTAAATCATGCACGGATGCCGCCCCCCTCTAAACCCTAAACCCTACAACCCTCAATGCTTTGTAGAACCATGCCCAACACCTCCTGCTCTTCTTGAATGCTTACGGCTAAACCCTGAACCCTGAACCCAAACCCTAAACCCTAAATCCTAAAAACCCAAAAACCCAAAACCCTAAACCCTAAACCCTAAACCCTAAAACCTAAACCGAAAGCAGCACAGAGCACTATACATCCATCTAAAATTGGAACCAGGGGCCCCTAGTATCGTCCCTTACCCTTGTTAGTAGGGATCCGAAGGGCCGTTATTTTGTGTAGTGCATATAACGGCTATATCACATGGGACCCAGGTTTAGGGTTCAGGGCTCAGGGTTTAGGGTTTAGTTTTAGGGCCCATACTTGGTACCTTAGAATCCAGGTCTGCACAGCCCTTGTTCCCGCAGCTCCGCCACCAAGAGGTCATCGGCCTTGCGGGCCCGAGCTGGCGGCTACCACGGCCTTGGCATGATGCACAGCCACGCTGATGTCATCCAGCCACAAATCAATGTGGTCTGACAATTGCGAGGTATGCTGGCAATGCATTAAGGTCCACAAAGGATCGATTTGCTGATCGCCGGTGCCAAGGGACACCCTTGGATGAGGCTGCGCCCCGGCCACACCACCTCGCTGACAACATCGTCCCCAACGTACCGAAAGCTCCAAGAGCGGGCGTGGGAACTCCAAGGTCAGCCCTGCCTGCAGGGTCTTCTCAAGATCCACCGTGTCATAGAATCCGTCCATGTCCATGAAGATCGAGATGCGCGAGACCTTTGACGCCCGTGCCTCCTCGGTACGGATAAGGCGCGATAGGCATACGTCAAGGCACGTGCGCCCAGGCACTGCGCCTGACCCAGGAGGCCAGCTTCGGGGGAGTACATGTAGGGGACTACACCCCAGGCAAGTGAGAGGGCTGTCGATACCTAAGGCTCCACCCTGAGACCTAGCTAGCCACCGCAAATATTAGGTTTTGGGGTTCAGGGTTGTTAGGTCAATATTCCAGGCCTGGACCCCTCCGCTCGAAACCCTAACCCTATCTCTAAACCCTAAAACCTAAAAACCCTAAACCCTGAAAACCCTAAAAACCCTAAAAATCCTAAAAACCCTAAGAACCCTAAACACCCTAAACCCTAAACAGCGACCCCACGTTCGTGCTCGCCGCGTCACGGCTGTCCGGCCGCGAAGTTCGTGGTGCCGTCGATGGGGTCCACGATCCACAGCCAGCCTTACGGGGGTTGCGAAAGAGAGGTTTAGGGTTTAGGGTTTAGGGTTTAGGGTTTGCGAGAACCAGGCCCCCGAATATAAACCCTCAAATAGCAGGTTTCCCTTGCAATAGGGACCGACAACCCCTTGACGGATATCGGAATCCCTCTTATGGTCTGTGCCAGAAGGGTTTAGGGTTTGTAGGGCTTGTAGGGTTCGTAGGGGTTATAGGGGTTTAGGGTTTGTAGGGCTCGTAGGGTTTAGAAGGTTCATAGGGTTTGGAGGGTTTGGACAGTCGTAAAGCTGCAAACGGCCTAAACATCGCATTCCAGACGGCCACATGGGCTTACGCCGGGCAACCCTAAACCCTAAACCCTAAACCCTAAACCCTAAACCCTAAACCCTAAACCCTAAACCCACAGCCGGCTCCCTTGCTGACTGGCTGTCCTCAGCCTCTCCTGCCAGCGCCGGGCAAAGCCGCCAGGAATGCATACTTGGGAGTGCAGTCGCACAAGTCGCACAAGTCCCCACAGTCTTAGGGGATTAGGGTGTTTAGGGTTTAGTGTTTAGGGCCTTGGGTTTCCCTAGGGGCCACCATCGCTTCAAAATGCAGGGGCAGAGCTGCCGAGGGAATCCTCCTCTGACATCCATGGGTGGCTTTGCTTGCGGCTGTAGCTGTTCTGTGTCGGCAAAGCTTACCTTCTCGAATCCCGTGCCCAGGTGTCTCGCTGCAGCCTATGCGGTGTGTGATGCCCAAAACCCAAAACCCCAAACCCAAAACCCTAAACCCCAAACCCCAAACCCTAAACCCTAAACCTTGAGTGCAGGACGCCTAGTATTGCTCCCTCTTACGAGATGTGCAGAGGGCCGGTCCGTCAGCAAGACAGTCTCACTGCAGATTTCTACTGTAGGGGGGGCTAAACAGCACGAAAGTGCTTCGGAATTTCAAGGCCGTGAGCCTGAAACAAAACTCTAAACCCTGGAAGAACCCTACAGTTCCCCTTTTTCGGGTTTAGGGTTGAGCCCCTCAAGCCCTAAACTGCTCAACTCGTTCACCCTTCAAACCACCAAGCAAACCGACATGAGATTGTTGACGATCATTGAGGGCTACGACTAAAAAACTGCTGTCTGCTCATGTAGATTTCAATTAACAGAAATGAGCTTCATTTGCCTCTCGCTCCACTGCGCTCCCACTTGCCTTATACGCGCTTTACAAGCTTCTGAGAGTGAAAGGCCAATTTCATTGTAATCTGGTACAGGTACGAATGCAATGAAGAGACACACTACTCTACTAGCCAACCCAAACCCCCTGGCCCCCCCCTTGCCTGGTTTGGTTGGTGGCCTGTGAGAACTCACAGCGGGTGGGGCAAAGAAACCCGCACCAATGAAAATTGTTGGACCGCATTGAAAATAAATACTTCGCGTGACATGCCGCCCCCCGACACCCCCTGGGTGTGTAGGGGCGCCATTTCCACATGGTACTTACTGCCGCTGCGCGGCGAAACGCCCTAAACCCTAAACCCTAACCCTAAACCCTAAACCCTAAACCCTAAACCCTAAACTCTAAACCCTAAGCCCTAAGCCCTAAGCCCTAAGCCCTAAGCCCTAAGCCCTAAACCCTAAACCCTAAGCCCTAAGCCCTAAACTAAGGGAAGTGGCCCCCAGAGGCCAGCGTGGCATCCAGGTCTGGGCCTGCCGTCTCCTTCCGTGAGCCCGTAGGTTGGTTTGGGGTTTAGGGTTTAGGGTTTAGGGTTTAGGGTTTAGGGTTTAGGGTTTAGGGTTTGGGGTTTAGGGTTTGGGGTTTAGGGTTTGGGGTTGAGGGTTTGGGGTTTCGGGTTGAGGGTTTGGGGCTGAGGGTTTGGGGCTTCGGGTTTATACTTCTATTCTATTTTTTCAAATATATCTATAACACTATTATTATCACTATCATTGCTTTCATTACGGTTATTCTTATTGATTAATTACATATATGTTCTTTTCCTTTTCTTTTTTTTTTTTGGGGGGGGGGGGGGTGTCGCTTACAGGAATCTATGCTGCAAAAAGGGTGCCCCATTTCGGGGAAATGCTTGCTGGGGCGGCGCATGCAAAGAACGCTAAGCCCTGAGCCCTAAGCCCTAAGCCCTAAACCCTGCGCCCCAAAGCCTAAACCCTAAACTCCAAACTCTAAACCCTAAGCTCTAAACCCTAATTAGGCCCTTAGCCCTAGACCCTAAACCCTAATTCCGTAAACCCTAAAACCCACAACCCTAAACCCTAAACCCCCCATCTCTTCTCCTCGCCAAGGAAGGTATGGGAGGGGAAGTGCATCTCCACGATGCCCCGGATCTTCTCTTCACACTGCTGGTCCACGGCCGTCCTGGGGGTTTAGGGTTTAGGGTTTAGGGTTTAGGGTTTAGGGTTTAGGGTTTAGGGTTTAGGGTCGGGAGACGGCGCGGGAGCTAAGGGTTAGGCCTGGCGATCTATGAGGGAACAAAGGCGCACCCAGGCTTCTTTGACGAAAACGGATACTTCCGAAAGCTTCGTGTTGTGCATCCCTTTGTATGTTCCCCCCTTATACTAACAGTCCTTAATGGAGAGTATAGTAGGGGGTACTATAATCATATTGAGGACTGCTAGTATAAGGGGGGACGTCAACGTACCCATATAGTACAGATTTGGGCCCTGAAGCTACTGTTTTGAAACCCCTTTCAGATGGGATCCCACAGTGCCATCAGATAGGATACCACAGTGAACTGATCAGTGCTATAAAACTAAAAATAACTATGGCTGCCCTGCATCACATAGGACTTTAGGTCTAGACACCTAAACCATATAAACCCTAAAACTGCATAGACCTTAAACAAAAACACCCAAACCCTAAAACCGCAAGACGCCCTAAACACAAAAGAGCCCAAAAGCCATAACACTCCAAGCCCAAAACCCCCAAGGAAATCAACGTTTGAACCCTTAGGTTTAGGGTTTGCTTCCATCCCTGACCCGGTGTGAGGATGGAGACTTGAGGGTTTCCGGTGCAGGTTGCGCTATTGTCCTTAGTTTTAAGTCTGGGTCGTTTTCCGGGACCTTTCCTAACGCAGGGCCCTTTCTTCAGGGTGGCAAGGTTCCGTTCTATCCCTAAACCCTAAACCACCCTAAACCCCTAAACCCTAAACCCTCCCTTTACTTAAACCACCTCCAAACATGGCCATCGCTAAGAAAGTCGCTTTGATGACACATTGCCAGAAGGCTCCCCAGGGCAAGTGTGCTCATGTTCACCCAAATTCCGGTCCGACAGTAGGTTGTGATGTGACTCCCACCCCCGCCACCCCCCACCACCCCACCCACCCCACCCCCCCACGCCCCCCCCCCCCCCCACCCCCCCCCCACCCCCACCCCCCCCCCCCCCACAAACCCCCCCCCCCCCACACCCACCCCCCCCCCCCCCACACCCACCCCCCCCCCCCCCACCCCCCACCCCCCCAAACCCCACTCCCGTCACCCCGCCCCCCCCCCCCCCCCCCCTGGTTTTTTTTTTTTTTTTTGTGGGGGGGGGGGGGGGGTTCTCATTGTGACGGTATACCCTTGTGGCCTCGGTCTCACGACGACCCTGGACCTGCTTGGAGGTTCAGGGTACTTTTAGCCCCTGATTAGAACTGTAGTCATCTGCCCCCGAAGTCCCCTAAGTCCTCAAAGTAGGTTAAGCAGACTTATGATTGGAGTAAGAAGTACCCATGAAGCACCTCCAAGTGGACCCTAAACGCCGAAAACACCAAACCCTCGCCAGGCTGCAGCAGATCTGCATCGAAGGCCTTTGTTTCGATGACCTCCGCACCCACCTGAGTGCTAGGGGTTTAGGGTTTAGGGGTAGGCTTTGGGCATTTGGGGGGCTCGGGTTTAGGGTTTAGGGTTTCGGGTTTAGGGTTTAGGGTTTAGGGTTTAGGGTTCGTGTCGGCGCTTAGGCTTTAGGTGCTGAAGGCCCGGGCCCCATTTCAGTAGGCATGCTCATGGCTGTAACCACTCCCTGGTATTCCTCATAAGACCAGCCAGCTAAAGGCCAAACCGTCTAAACGTTTAGGGTTTAGGGTTTAGGGTTTAGGGTTCCCTGTCGCCTCGGACCAACAGGGGTGCCCTGTTCTGTCATTACATCTTCTAAGGGGTCCGAAGACAAACCGGGCATCTCTGGAAGTCCTAACGCAACAAACTCCCCCAGGGAGCCAAGACCCCTCCAGCACAAAAATGAGTGCGTAAACGATCGCTAAACGCTAAACCCTAAACCCTAAACCCTAAACCCTAAACCCTAAACCCTAAACCCTAAACCCTAGACCCTAGACCCTAGACCCTAGACCCTAAACCCAAGACAAGGGGCCATCTGATACCCCAAACCCTGACACGTTGAAGTTCAAAACCCGAAAACCGGGTGTGGGGTTTGGGGTTCAGGGTTCGTTTGAAGCTTTGGGGTGCGGGGCTACTGGTTGCGGGTCTCAAGAGGATTCTTTTTTCTTTTTTTTTTTTTGGGGGGGGGGGGGTTTT